TGTGGGCAAAGCAGGAAAACTCTAGCTACAACATCCTGTGTCTTGAGAGTCCCTCTGCTCCAGAAGTCACATTCCAGCACTCAAAGTCTCAGCCAGAAAGTGATGTTTAACTCATTGGTGTGGATGTTTGTGGATGTGTTTGTGAGTGTGTGTTCACATAAGTATGGAAGACAGAAGACGATCTTGGGTGTCCTTCTTTGGGAGCTGTCCACTTGGTTTTTTGAGATGCGGTCTCTCACTGGAACCAGGGGCCTCACTGATGAGGCCAGGCTCGCTGGCTAGCTGGAGAACCCCAGTTCACTGTCTCTTGCCCCCCGCAGTACGGGGACTATCATGCCACCTCGCCTGGCTTTCTCTTTTAATGTGGGTTCAGGGGGTTAAGATCAGGTCCCCATGCTTGTACTGCAAGCACTTTACAAACTGAGCCGTCCCCATCTCTGCCTTGTTTTGAGATGACAAACTAGAACCCTCCTCTACTGAGGTTTCTGCTAGACTCACTTGTCACTTTTGCAAGCCTCAGCCAATTAGAGGGCTTCAGTAATCCTCATCTTCACATGTATGCTCTTCGCCAATTGAATGGAGATGTGGGGATACCTTGGAGAAGTGCAGTGTGCATGCTTTAGACAGGTTTATCTGGGGCTACAGAGGTGAGGGCTCAATGCTGTATAAGTTGTGAAGGCTGGAGTTTGGATTCTCAGAGTCCATGTAAAGCCCTATGCAGTAGAACCCTGTAATCCCAGTGCATGTGTGGAAAAATGGGAGGCAGAGATGGGTGAATGCCCAGAACCTCCCAGAACATCTAGCTTGTGGTATAAAGCCAAACAAAACAAAAGACACCCTGTCTCAGCAAAGTAGAAGACAAGGACTCACCCTCAGATTGTCCTTTGACCTCTACATGCATGCTGCAGCATGCACATACCCTCACACATGAATGTGTACACACACACACACACCACACACACACATATTACACACATTTTTAAAAATTAAAATAAATGAATAGACTTAAAGACTTATCTGACAACAGCATGTAAGATGATCTGAGGGCATGAAATCATGTGACAGGCATGTGGCTTTCAGAATCATTTAGGCAAGTAGGACCAGAACTTGATTAGGCTCAGTGAAGTCTGAGTGGATAAAAAGGATATCCCCATGGTGAAAGCCTGGATACTGGACACAAGTTGGTATGGGCTCCAAAATGGAAGAAAAGACAAAGTCTATTGATGAGAGGAAGAGGGACAGTAGTGTGAATAAACATGACGAGGGGGGTGGAGTATGGCATGAGTGTGCTTTTAACCCCTGTACTCATGAGGCAGAGGCAGGTGGATTTCAATGAGTTCAAGCCAGGGCTACATAGTTTGGTATTGGAGCTGAAGAGACTCTAAGGTAAGGGCTGAACGGTAGGAAAGGTAGAGGACAGATGTATACTTGGGCGAGAGGCAAGGTCTAAGCCCAGGAGGAGCCACGGAAATGCTTACATGGTGGCAAGTAGGGCTGGGTTTTCAAGGGGGAAACGGAAGAAAACATGATAGAAAAAGGAAAGACTCAACTTGCCTTTGAAAGCATCAGAAAAAGGCGGAGGCGTAGCTCTGTGGATAGAAAGCTTTCCAGAGAAGCCTGAGGACTGTGGTCCAGGTCTCTAGCACCCATGTAAATACCAGACAGCTCCCAGCCATCCCAACACATGAAGAAGGGAGGGAGAATCCGTTGAGCAAGCAAGTGAAGAGTGCTGGACGTCAGCCTCTGGCCTCCATGTGTGCTCACAGACATACCATTACACATATGTGTACATATCTACACACAACAAATACGCAAAAACAAATGTCAAGATGGATCATGGGTGACAAATGTTACACATGTGAGCAATCACTGTCAGGGTTCTTTCAACTACAGTGAAAATGTCAGACAGAGAGACGACATGGGTGCAGAAATGAAAGTTCAATAAGGGAGGACCAAGATGAAAATGATGTTTAGGAAGCCAACAGAAGAGGACTCTGGGAACAGCATCCAACAGGTGCCAGCCTTAAAGATGCAGGAGAAGGCCATTTAGCAAGTAAGTCAGTAGGGGCCATTGTAAGTCATTTACATCAGGCTGTCAGGCGGAGTTGGGGGTCTCAAAGTCAGTGTCCGTGTGAGAGCAAGGTGGTCCTTAGAAGCGGGAGTGAGAGGAGGTGAGGCAGTGTTGGGTGGGTTGCAGTGGCCAAAGCTTATCCACAGGCAGAAGAGAGAGAACCAATGGGGTGACTTTGAGACAGAGACTGGACAGAACGAGGAGACAGCACAGGGCTGGCGGGAAGGGAGCGTCAGCACAGGGGAGGGTCATATTTGGACACAGTGGCTCAGGAAGAGATGCGGGAGCACGGGAAGACTGGGGAATGCGGAAAGATAAAGATGAGGGTGACGCGCATTGGACGGTTTTAGTTTTCCTAGTGAAGACAGATATGACGTCATCTGCGGAAGCTGTGGGTAGGGTATTGGGAGTAAAAACAATCCAGTGTAGACTGTAGATCACCCTGCTTTTAAGGAAGATGGTACTTTCACTAAACTCACTTTTGAAAAAATCCTCAAATCGAGGGCTCTCGTGGTAAGAACAGAAGCATGTCTCTGGTACCAGTAACAATAAAACATCACTTACTAAATAGCACAACTTTTCACACCGGATAGGGCAGTAAGCCATTTGATCTGTAGCTTGAACTTTGATCCGCACATCTGAAATGCCGCCTGCAGGTGGCTGCTTCCCTGGAATTGCGTTGTAATAGTCATGATCTCTGTCTTCAGATGTGCTGTCAACGTGTACCTCCTCGCTGTGAGGGGAAAAAAGAAGTCCCAGGGTTGGGATTCAAAGGCTATAGGGGATACAAAGAGATCAGAGCCAAGCAAATCATCCTGAGAAACTATGTATTTGAGTTTTAAGTTTATTGTTGTGATTAAGCAATGTCAAACATCTGGACTGCTGTGCTGAATTGTTTAGAAGTCTGTAGATAATCCAAATGGAGGAAGCCAGCGAAGAGTGTCAAGGGTGAGACTTCTGCATTTCTCTCCAGTGGTAATAATATTGATAGTGAACAATGCCTTGCCTGGATGGAAGGCTGTTTCAGCACAGCATCACAAAAATGTCAAGTCTTCTTGAGTATCTCTGGCTCACTCCAATTGCTTCATTTTGGAAATGTTTTGGTCAAAGAAAATCTATATATTGTTCCTTGGGTACAGGGCCTAGCCTAGTTCACTAAACTAAGATGAAATAGAACAAGAGATCTGTGGCAGCTATCTTGTCTGCACAAATCCAGACAAGTATGGTTTTCATAAAGAACTATTAGAGTCACATGTGGCAAGTGGGGGAATTCTATAAACATGCAATTGTTTTAAAAATTGAAACAGGATTAAAAGAAAACAAATAGGCTTTTCTTCCAAATTGGAATTAACAAAAGTTTCTTATAAAAAGAATAAGTCAAATCAAATCTCCTTGTGATTTTGCATGCCTGTGAAGGGCGATGTGATTGAGTGCAGGCATGTGTGTGCTGTGGCATGCATGTAGGAAGTCAGTTCTGCCTCATCCTTGTTTTGGGGCAACAGTTCTTATTTCTGCTGCTTCACTATGGACTCCAAGCGAGCTTCTCCTGATTCCACTTCCCATCTCACCATAGGAGTTCCAGGATGGCAGGTGCCCCAGGGCCATCTTCTTACTTGGTCTCTTGGGATCAGAACTCAGGTCCTCAGGCTTGAGTGCCAAGCTCTTTTACCCACTGAGCCATCTTCCCAAGCCAAATCAAGTCTCTTTAGAATGAGCTCACCTACCAATCCACATGACCAGGTAGGATTCTGGGTAAAAGTTAGCATCAAGGGTGACCCTTTCCTCTGTTGCCCTGGATGATCTACCTCATAAAGAGGCATCTCCAGACTCAATGCTTGTTGATACACAGGATGACAATTTGGGGAAGGGTACATTTAAAAATACCCAAGGATTTAATGTCTTGAGTGTGAACTTGGTGGCAGGTGGTGGCCTGAAAAGATTAGCTTTCATGGCCTCAGACACCAGCTTCTTGGGTCACATCTGCTTCACCCCACAGACTATATAGCCAGTTCTAATGCCTACCAGCAACTAACAGATTCCCGCCGAGATCTTTGATTCTTTCTGTTTTACTCTTCAGTTTTGGTTTGGTTTTTACCAATATGCACGAGATCCAGGATTAAAGAAAATCAGAGGAGCTTGTCAATGTTTGTTATTTTAGAACTCCATGCGGTCCGTAGCTTTGTGTAACCCTGGAGAAACACGGTTGATTCCTTCCCACTTTGGTGTCGGAAGAATGTCTGAATAAATGTGAGTGGAAGAAAAGTAAACAGCTCTTATTTGTGTACTGAAACTGTTACTTGTAAGAAAAAAAATATTCATCTCATTGGTGAACTTCAAAACATCATAGTAAGTGTTTTGGTGCTTTGTTTTTAGATGGGGCCTCACCATGTAGCCTTGACCGGCCTAGAACTTGCTGTGTAGACCAGGCTGACCTTGGACTCACAGAGATGCACCTGCCTCTGCCTCTGCCTCCCAAGTGCGGAGATCAAAGGCATGCCCCCCTATGCCCCACCATCATAGTAACGTTTCAAATATTCAGAAATAAAGGAAGTTAAATAATTATGGAACTCGTGACTGACCTTTCCCAAGTGTTCAAGGAAGGATTTTTCAAGTACTGTTTGAACCGGAGCTCAAAGGCCTGCCCTATGGTGCTTATGACATCTTGGGCCATTCCACTGTGACATTCCAGGATGTGGCATGCTGTGGGGAGACACGAAAAGTATCGTGAGAACGTTATACAAAGTCAAGATAGCTCCAGAACACGAATTTGTAGTTACATTTAAAAAAAAAAACAACAAAAAAAAAAAAACAGGCTTACAAACTCATCTCTAAAATGGCATAATCAAACCTCATATTCCATGGGAATCAGGGAGAAAAATACAATCTACATATCTAAAAACTTAGAAATTTTGGTCTCAAGGCAGATATTTAGGGCTCACATTTTAGTAAGATTATCTTAAAAATTTTTTTTTACAATTTTTTTATTTAGTGTGTGTGTGTGTGTGTGTGTGTGTGTGTGTGTGTGTAGCTCTGAGGACAACTTGTGAACGTCTGTTCACTCCTTCCACCATGTGAGTCCCCAGGACCAAACTCAGGCTTGGTGGCAGGTGTCCTTACCCACTGAGCCATCCCTCTGGGCCTGGAGGCGCATCGTGACTGAATGATGGTACTACCAGTTACGTGCCAGCTCTTCAACTCAGCGCAGGAGAGGAGAAGCGCAGCAGTCACACCGGAAGCAGTCACACAGGTCTGAGGCCTTGTGTTGTGTGGTAGATCACAGAAGTCAGGAGCAAAGAGGAATTGCCAAACCTATCCCCTAAATGAGCGGCGGTCAGGACCCAGATGGGGAGAGCCTTCCTCCACTCACCCTTCACCCTGTGGTTGTTGCCGTTAACCAGTGACGCAGATGGGGAGCCTCACTGAAACCCCTCCGAAGAACTTTGCAGTATGACTGAAATTCCGGATTTGGTGACAGTGTCATTGCCAGACACTGACAGGTTCACTGGATGTATTCTCACAGAAGCAGCTACTAAGGCTAATTTTCACATGTTAAATAAACAAGGTAGAGGCAGTTAACAGCACGTCACCATTAATAAATCGGTTGCTACTATGTTGCCATATGCAACTGCCTTCTTCTTGTCTCACGTAGCCCAGGCTAGCTACCACCTCTCTGTAGCTAACCTAGAACTCCTGATCTTCCTTGCCTCCATGCCCAGGTGCTGAAACTGCATCAATGGTACCCAGCTGGAATGTCATTCTTGACTTGGTTAGAGTATGGTGCCATGCTTAGGGCCTTGCAATATGGAGAGTTAACTGACTGAAGTTTTCTAAGGATGGCTAGGAAGAATACTTGGGATAATTTATAGACAGAAGCAATAATAACAAGAAGGTTAACAAAGACAGGAGTAATAAGCCCTATGAGAAATAAAAGATAACAAAGCAGGATATTTGGATACTTTAAAGAATAGAGGCATGAAGGTAAGTTTAATAGTATAGTTCAATATATGTGAGACTGTTGTTGCTGTTTTAAGTGAGCTATTATTTTCTTAGAGTCAGAAAGGCGGGTGAGGCCAAAGAGAGCACATAGGGAATTAGATGAAGCACTGGGGAAACCATTGGGACGCTCCTTATTGTGACTCTGTCACTGGAACAAATTCATCACAAGGGAATCTGAGGAAGGAGGGAGGCCTGCTTGTGTGAGACCTTAACAGTTCTCACCTGCGGCCTGAGTCCGTCTCGGGAGAGACCTCAGCTATGTGACTGTAGAAAGCCATACATTCTGTCACACCCCTGACAGAACCCTCAGGGCTGACAGGGACTGATAACAGGCTCTGTAACAGGGTTTCTTCAGCTTGACAACCACCCAAGGGATCTCCCAGAGTCTCATTCCAGAATTAACCTGACTTTTGGACGAATGATTTTACTAACTTGTACATTGTATCCGAATCTCTTTCAGGGTTTTTAGCAGTGTGTATTCATTGTGCGTAGTGTTGGGTTTCATATCACGTCTTTCAAGTGCATCGTGTAATTTGACTATAGTCATGCATTCCTCTTCCCTTTTCTGTTCCTCTCCAGGTCTCATCCCTTCCCTCAGGCTCCCTTTGCCTTCATGTCCTGTGTGTATGTCGGGGGGGGGGGTGTTACAGGTGTTTGGGTATGTGTACTCGTGTAAAGGTTTTATGTATCTGTAGAAAATCTCGATACCCACAATTGAGAGAAAACACGTATTTATCTTTCCACACCTTTATTGAAAAGATTTATGTCTCTGAACACCTTCAGAAGGGATGTGCTCTCAGATCCTGAACCAGACAGGAGCTAATTATAATTTTTGAAAACTCAAAATATCTTTAAATTCACATCACCTCTACAAACAGAAAATGTTTTGTCTCTCTTGAGACTGTCATTTTTATATTGCCCCTATATTTTTCTCTACTGGAGCTTGCCAGGGTAAAAAACACATAGAAGTGGTTTTAAGAATATTTATTGAATGAATATTTGGTTCATCACATCAATCTCACTGTTGTGAGAAACAGTTGTGGAGTTTACTGAAGTAAGAACTGAGTGATAGATATTTGCTTTGATTGCTTGACGAAAGAAAAGTCTCTCCCTGCAGGTAGTCTCATATACTGAGAAGTGCCAAGTACCCTTAGAGGTGTGTTCACAGCCTTTAATCCCAGCACTTGGGAGGCAGAGGCAGGCGGATCTCTGTGAGTTCGAGGCCAGCCTGGGTTACAGAGTGAGTTCCAGGAAAAGGCGCAAAGCTACACAGAGAAACCCTGTCTCGAAAAACCAAAAAAAAAAAAGAAAAAAAGAAAGAAAGAAATCAAAATGAGAGTGATACCAAAGTAGAACCAACAATTGTAACTTTTTTCCTTCGGTTGAGAAGATGTCAAGAGGTAAAACTCAGGAAGACAGAGAGAGGCAGGAGATTCCAGCACAAATAAGTAAACAGTCAACACTGGCTTCTGCTGAGAGAAGCAGAGGAGGAGAAACTGGAAGTGCTCTCTCTGGGAAAAAGATTTCGAGCCGAGTTCCAATTCCAGTCACGCCATCATGTGGGTAACCCTGGACATGCTGCTGGTGTGGCCTGAGTGAGAATGGCCCCGCAAGCCCGTGTGCTTTAACGATTGGTGCTGAGGTGATGGAACTCTTTGGGAAGGATTAGGAAGTGTGGCCTTGTTAGGGGAGGTGTCCCACTGGGGGTGGGCTTTGAGGTTTCAAAAGCCCTTGCCATCCCAGTGTGCTCTCTGTTATGTGCTGGTGGATGAAAATTTGAGCTCTCAGCTACTGCTCCAGTGCCAGGCCCGCCTGCTTGATGCCACGCTTCCCACCATGATGATCATGGTCTCACCCTCTGAAACTATAAATCCTTCATAAGAAGCTGTAGTTGTGGTGTTTGTCACAGCAATAGAAAAGTAATTATGACACTACTCCATGGTGAGGTCCTCACTTGCAAGGACAATAGGGTGGACAATCTGCCTACTTTAAATAAAGTCTGGCTTTTCTTGTTCATAGTAGCTTAAGCTCTCGAAGGAACAGGACGAGCAAGGGGAGCACACAGGAAGAATTAAAGCCAATTACCATCCTGTGGTGGTTTTGGGTGGCCCCCAAAGGGAGTGGCACTATTAGGAGGTGTGGCCTTGTCAGAGTGGGTGTGGTCTTTGTCAGAATGGGTGTGGTCTTATTGGAGTAGGTGTGGTCTTGTTGGGGTGGGTGTGGTCTTGTCAGGATGGGTGTGGTCTTGTTGGAGTGGGTGTGGTCTTGTTGGAGTGGGTGTGGCCTTGTTGGAGTGGGTGTGGTCTTGTTGGAGGAAGTCTGTCACTGTGGGCGCAGGCTTCAAGGTCTCTTTTGCTCAGATTTCCCTCATTGTGACTGTCAGTTGATTTCCTGTTGCCTGCAAGATGGAGGACTTTCAGCTACTGCAGTACTACATCTGTCTGCGTGCTGCCATGTTCCCTGTCATGGTGATGGACTGAACCTCTGAAACTGTACGAGAGCCACCACAATTGAATGTTTTCTTTATGAGAGTTGCTGTGGTCATGGTGTCTCTTCACTTAACTAAGATACATTCTTAGCCACTTGAGCATACTCTAAGATGCTCTGGGTTTTTTGTTTGTTTGTTTGTTTGTTTTGTTTTGTTTTTCCCAACTTCTCTGACTTGAATGCCTGGAGATTTGGGTTTTGTCTGTCCGTAGGCAGATTCTCCAAAATGATTTTCTGCTTTGCTATGATAACCCTGTTGCAGGCCTATTACTTTTTAAGAAGACTGAATAGAATAAAGAAAAGAAAGAAAAGGAAAACAGGAAAAAAAAAAAAAGCAAGGGCACCTGTCTCTGTCCATGAAAATGGCACTGGATGGCAGGCTGGCCCTGGACGGGTGCCACACCCAACCTCCCCTTGGGAAACACCCCTATTCTGACAGCGCTACTCTGTGAACTGTCTCTTTTAGTTTGATCACAGCCAGCAGCACAGGAGTAGACTTCAAATCATATACAAAAATGCCAAGCTAGAATGCTTGCTCCGGATCCGCCCCCTCTGCAGCCACCAGGCAAAGGAAGAAAGATGAACACATAAGAAGTTCCATATTCCCAAGCAGAGAGTGACTCTTGGTGACATCAAAATAGCCGTGGCAGTCTGAGCTTTACTGTCCACACCTGGAATTAGTGCACCTGGTTTCTTTGCCAAGCCCACAGTTCTGCCTATGTATATCAGTAAGAGTTAGAAAGTCATAGGAGCCCAGCCATGGTGGCGCACGCCTTTGATCGCAGCACTTGGGAGGCAGAGGCAGGCGGATCTCAGTGAGTTCGAGGCCAGCCTGGTCCACAGAGCGAGTCCACATCAGTCAGGGCTGTTACACAGAGAAACCCTGTCTTGAAAAAACAAACAAACAATAAACAAACAAAAAAGGTTTTGTTTCTTTAAGTTCCTCAGAGGATGAGTCTGTGACCCTCAAGGCTAGGAGTGTGGCAGCAGGGAGGCAGGCTTGGCAATGATACAATTAGCTGAGAGATTGCATCTTGATCCACAGCATGAGGCAGAGGGAGAACTGAGAACGATGTGAGCTTCTGAAACCTCAAAGCCCACACCTGTGACACACCTCCTCTAGGATCTCACTCCACACCCCTGGTTGTCCTGGAACTCACTCTGTAGCCCAGGCTGGCCTCCACTCACAGAGATCCACCTGCCTCTGACTCCTGAGT